GAACGATGTTTGGTCTATCTTTTGATAGGTTAGACCTCATGATTCAGTCTTTCATTTCAAAGCTCAAGATGTTAATATAAAAGTGTTCGAAAGTAATAAAAAAAAGCTCGGTACATGCCTAGTCTCGATTTCAATACATTGGATCAGATTCTACTTCTATGTCCCAGGAAATCGCTTTAGGATGTTTTCGTATAATATCTGAAAACATGTTTAATCTTTGGTCTTGCACTTCGAAACAGATACCACACAATCTATACTTAAATTGTAATTATCGGAATTAATAACCATAGATTAAGGTCATTGAGCCCACATATACACTTACTGACAGATATTTAGGCATATATCGATAAAGCAAAAAAAGAAATTTCAATAGTTCTACAAAAGAATATTATATTGTACAGAATCACTAATGATAATTTAGTTATGAGAATGCTAAATAGAATTCATGCATTTGTTTAGGTGCTGTCTATCAAGATTTAGGTAATACATGTTTTACATTCCTTGTTTCTCAAGCTAATCATCAATTAGATAAAAATCTCAATTCAAAAATTCTTCTCGATGCTCTTCAATCATCATTTAATATTCAGGGTCATATACATGGTCGAAACGATCTTGTCTATGGTCCAGATAAACGTAAATTTTCTGGTTCAGCTTATCAAAATACTTCTAAATTTGCTCTTCATCATGGTACATTATTAACTCATGTTGACACTAATGCTATGCAAAAATATTTAAATCCAAATAAAGAAAAATTAATATCTAAAGGTGTTGATTCAGTTCAAGCACGTGTTATTAATTTATGTGAAGTAAATCGATCGATTAATCATAAAAATCTTTGTTTAGCTATTGAAAAATCTTATCGTCAAACATATTCAAAAAATAAAATTCAACCTGTTGAAATTTTATCACGAAAAACACTTGATTTAATACCTGAATTAAATACATCCTATAAATTGTTTAGTGATACACAATGGCGTTATGGACAAACATTTTCATTTACACATGAATATGAAAAACGTTTTCCATGGGGAACAATATCTATTGGAATTATATCTCAACGAGATGGACTTATTCATGAATGTGAAATTTATTCGGATTCATTATATGTCAGTATGATTAATTGTTTAAAAGAAAATTTCGTTGGAAAAATTTATACTGGTGAAAGTATTCGACAGGTTTGTAAACAAACACGAAAACAAGTTGAAACTGAACAAGAAAAAGCAATGATCGATGATATACAATCATGGATTTTAACACAAATTTAATCGATAGAACTTTTTTTTTTGTTTATACTCTTCTAATTCTTATATTCTTCTATTTTATTGATAAATAAATCAAAGAGTGTTCAGCAGGATTATTCTTGGTCAAAATATTAAACAATGATATTGATATAGTGATTAGTTTTTGATATAATTTAAGAGAAATTTTGAAAGAAACGATATTTGATTCACCTCTATACTCTAACGTTCGAGAAAGATATTCATCAAAACAAGAGTCAAAAACAGCTCATTGGTTTCTTTAAAAGTGTATGTCAAGATGTAGAGCCTGATAGAGCTCTTCGTTTTTAAGGTAACAGAAATCATCAAAAATTTTTGGGAAAAATCATGTGCAAAATTAAAATTCATATTGTTTGTACAAGATTGTATCTCAAGGCATTCTTTTCATGCATTTTATTTAATTTTAATTAATTTGACGGAGAAGGATATCTCTTTGAGACCAACGAATAATTATTTGAAGTCTATCTATTCAAATTTCTGTTTGATAACATTGCATGTTAAATAACAAAGGTAAATTCAAGATAGATGACAGAAGATGATCTTAGCATGTTGTTCTATAATGTATTAATTAATATACAGTGTTACATGATAATTGATTTATTGTTAATCAAGATCAAATGTAATGAATGTCTACGTTAAATGAAAAACATTAAATATCACACATTCTCAATATAGGTATTCTGTTGAGCAACATCCACACTTACACCCTTTCACTGCACATGAATGATCAAAGGGAAAATATCTCATTCGAACATTCCGAACTATTTTGAGCTAGAAGTGAACCATCTATATACATGATGTCGAGTAGGAGTGCCAGTTTCGAGTTCCATTCTTGGAAACGCGAACGTGGAGAGGATACTCTTCTATATAGATCCACCAACTATTTACAGATCTGTCTGTCGACAAGATTTAAGTATGTTAGTCTTGTAGCCCTTGTCGAATTGTGTAAGAATTGGTATTTAGCTTTTATTCAAATCATGCGCTAACGATAACAAGACAGGCTCAAAAGTCGATTTTGTCGAAACCCTTTCTCTTGGGAATCGGCTTGTTTTATTTTTGCTGAACATGTTTTGAGACTTTTGATTAAACCATTTGATAGAGCATAAAAAGTAGTCTTTATAGCATAATTTTCAGCATTACATCTCTAAAGCTCATTGTTTGGGAGGATTGGTAAAATTGAGAAAAATGATCCTATCTGCTTAACCGTTTGAGGACGGAACTATTTTTTAATGGAAAACGCATTCACATATTCGCGCTCACACCTTCATACCCACGCTGCCATTAAAGAGTAGCTAGATTATTCGATTGTGGAATCAACAAGTAAGGAAACTCTTTCTATTTTAAAAAATATTGAGTTACTTGAGTGCTGCGACTTTATCTCCAATGAGTAATGATTCATGAAATGATCCGCTTTGTTTACTACTTTGGCCCATTAATAGACTTCATTGATATGAAAAATCGAAATAACTTTCGTTGTACATTCAAAACCTGAGCACTGCTTTTAAAAATCTGCTTAATAGTCTTTTTTTTTTATATCAACCTCAGTCAAACTATTGTTATGTGACTGTTTCTAGAATATGAACTGTTCAATTTGTATCAAGTTTTAGTCACAAGTTCGAACATTGATCGATGCGCATCAAAAGCTCACATCGACTGTTCAGAGTGACACTTTATATTGAGATTACGTCCATCGAAAATAGCACTTTGAACATCTGATCTGAGCCTCCGATACTCATTGAACATATATGCAGAAGAGAAGAAAAAAATTGCAAACCATGTTTTGTCAATGGATACATGAGACTTAAACAATAAATACCAATATTTTCTTTTCAATTGAGCATCACATCAATCAATCTGTTGAGATGTATTCATAAGAAGATTCATTGACTTGTACTAAGATTGAACGCAGTACTGTAACAGTGTATTTAAAAAGCAGAAATAATAGAGATATGAATTATAAGAACTAATCAGGATCAACCCATAAGAAATAAATCATTGAAAAATATTTATATATAATTTTAAAAACATCGATTACGCACAGATGAACATTTTCAATAATATAGTCCCTTCAAATACCAAACATATTATCTTCGTATAAGTTATATTGCTATAGTTTTCGATATCTAAGTTGAAGATAAAAGACTAAAAGCTTATTATCGGAAATTTTCAGCAGTTTCGATGCGTTGGCTCGAATGTCGCTCGGGTGCCTTCGAATCAACCTTTTATAACAATTACGAACACTCGGAGATGTGAAGAGTTTCGAGTGCTAAAGAATGAGAATATGTGCTTCTCGAAATATGCTAAAAGTCGATGGAAAATTTTCGAATGACACAAATTTTAACATAATAAGCAAACTTATGTGCAAAATACGTTTCGAACTTTTGCCACACTCCTCACTTGCTTCTTAAGGATTGTCTGAAAATGATTCATTGATCTCAGTACAGAACAACATCGATCGAGTAGATGCGACAATGACGATTCATATGTGACCTAGATCTGATGGAAATTCGTTGTAGGTTGAACAGCGTTTGTAACAATACTGATCCATTGTCAAGAATATTTTCATGTTTATTACTGATCAGCAATAAACAATGGAAATATTTCAAGTTAATAGATAAAGTTACGAAGATTATTTTCACATATGTTTAGTTTCAAGCATATCATTTCATTTTTTTAGTTCTTTTGGAAAAAGTATAACATCTAAACAACAACAAAATGTTTATTATATCATGACAAAATATTCAATATTGAATTACAGGTGATATATATTGCAATTGTTAAAAACAACATGATGCAAAACATTTTTAGTAATTAAAATCGTTAATTTTGCAATTTTTAATCCAAAATCTAGACAATTGAGAAGGCTTCTCTATTAGATATATAGGCTTAAATATGACAGAGAAACATTACATGTGATTTTTCTGACATGCTAAGCTCGTTTCATAATAAGACCTACACTGTTGACTTATTCGAATTAACTAACTAAAAGATGATCCATATTTCGAGTCATTTGGATAATAACTATTCTAGGAATGTGAGAATACTTCATGAACTTGACTAATGGCTTTAGACAACATTTAAACATAACAATCTTCTTGTAAGTATCCCATTACTCATTGTCATGATTTATATTTGGATCATGTTTACGAATAAAGGGAAATGTGGACAAAAATTTCTTGTCTACTATGTGTCACTATCCCGTCCTCTTTTCTTTCATTGATTTACGTATATTGTATTTTTACATAAAGGTATAAAATATACCATGTGTCGTTGGTTCTTTCAAGTAGTATCGATGTGTTTTTTTGACACTCATCACAGAGAAAGTAACGAATCTCGATTCCTTCATTCTATTCCATGGAAACAAGTTTATATGGAAGAACGACTAAAAACGCGGTTTTTAACCGTTCTTCTTTTTATTAATTTTTTTTCATGGAATCGCAATGAAAATAGAGATAATGCTAACATATAATTATCATTTGTTAACTTTTTTCTATTATGTTATGTTTAGTTTCATTTCATAGATTCAGAACTGTTTCTTAGTGATCAATCACAATATTAATTGAAAAGAAAAGAAAATGTATTCTTCAATGTTTATCTACTTTTTTTCATTGATATCAATAATTATTTGTGAAAAACCTGGTTCAAATGTGATGACATTAGCAACATGGAATATTGGTTTAGAAGAAGAACAAGCATTTGAACGAACACCATCGATTATTAAAGCTATTCGTGAGAAAAATGTCGATATTCTTTGTTTACAAGAAGTATGGGGTGGTCCACAAATTTTACGTCAAATTTATCAATCTGTTAAAGATATTTATCCTCATTTTGAAGTCGTAAATGATGATATGCGTGATTATATTCGTAGTGATTCATTACCTACACAAACATACAGTCCTGCTTGTTCAGCTTCGGATATAACGAATGTACAAATTTGTCTTTTTACACACTGTTCTAATGTTACTGATTCAGTACTATTTATATGTGCCACAACTCAATGTGCAACACAATTTGTAGCTCCTTATACGAATTCAAAATGTTGGTCGTGTATTTTTGATCGATTTATAAGTCGTAACGATCCATTAGGCTTGAATTATTGTGGTGCTATTAATTTACCTAAATTGATTAGTACTTCACCGGGTATTATTCCTAATTCTACTGAAGCTCCTTGGGGTCATTCAATTGGTCTTATGATATTAGCAAAACAACGATATCCATTAAAGAAACTAGCCAGTAGTTTATATTCAGAATTTTATATTGCACCTCGTGGTTATATTATTGTTAGTCAAGAAAAGAAACAGTTAATTATTGC